AAGCCTGATTATCTGCCACTGAGCCAATCAGTGCTCACCATTAGCAGTGTGTCTTGACCACTGGCCATATTCTTTGGGTGCTGTGCGGTTAACTTTAAGCCTAATGAGAAGGGAGGAACATTCTAGTGCATATGCAGTATTGATGGATTACACAGAATGACCTTTTAACCAAACCTCCAGCTAGTATATCTATAATCACAGCCAAAGTCTGTTAATCCCTCACAAGCCCCATCCCCTTACCTCCTCCCAGCACACATAAAGATCCAGATATCCTGAAACACCAGCACATCTGCATAGAAAACTGTCATCTCGGCTGACACTACTGTAATCTGTGTGCCTGCAGCATTATGTGAATTAATTGAATTCCTGTGCTGTACTGTACTTTGCAGTGTTTTAAATACAGATGTCATATTGGCAGCTGAATCCAGACCTTTACTAATAAATGAGCATTTGTTGCTCTTACCTATCGTTAAATAACCAGAATTTGGCACAGTGCACATGCTCCTTATATTGCAGTGCCAGCTGCTGATTCCAGCTAAGTGTCAGGCAAAGTTTAAGGGGACATTTGAAATGTTGCCACAAAATTAAGAAGGGAATTTGTTTCCCCTCGGTTGGGTGCAGCTAAAAAATCACTTTCCCCAGAAAACGGAACAAAAATCATTTGAGGCTTGATTATTGATTATACAAAAAATGTAATTGATAATACTATAATACATCACTCAATGGCTAGATTACTGTGACAAATACTTCTTCTGTATGTGTAGAACAGAAGAAGGTATAGGAAGATGATGGTACATCCAGTTTTGCTGTTTATACTATATTTATTAAAATGAACACTATTTTTCCCTTTCAAGCAAGTCTAAAAAAGTGTGTAATATTTCATAAGTTTGGTTGAACTTCGCCATGCATCCTAATTTGAATAAAATAGTTTTTGATGAAAAACCAGCATTCGTGCACAGAGGTTGATGCACAGAGTACAAGGTCTTACATCAAACCATTGTGAAAATTCAGTTGCACCGATGAACTATGCCTCTCGCTCATTACCAGAGCTTGTTTACTTTTTGAAAACCAGCAATCAAAGCAGCCATTAGATATTTTATTGAAAAAAAAACTCCAATGATAAAATACAATAACACCAAAGAAAGTTAACTGGCACTATGTTGATGCCTTTTCACATAGCAACCATTTTCCCTGACACCAGGCTAAAAGCGATGGAGAGCTTACCAAGCGCATTTCAAATGCCATTTTGACCAGTTGGATTGCTCGGTTGAAGCCAGGTGTTGTGTAATATCAGCATTTATTACCCATATTCCGTATACTGACCACACACAGCCCATGCTTTGTATACTTTTTATGCTTTGCTGTTTTTCATGCTGGATTTTTCAGTTTTATCTCCTTTTGTGGACGACAAAATAATAAGATGAGCGTATGCTGTCACATTGCATAGTAGGCACATGTGAAGACAAGGAAACACACTTATCTGTTCCTATCTTGCTGTGTATCATATATCACTTCAATTTAAATTCTCCTCTATGTGTCATTTGTGACTTCTCACAGATGTGCATTTTGCCCAAGCAATATCAACAGAGTTTCGGGATGAATGACAGCATCACTCAATCAACATTTTATCAAGGAACACTCTCTAAACATTGCAATGTTTTTCTTTTTATACCTAATCTCCTGCCTTTTCTGACATTGTCACAATATTTTGCTGCTTGTAAGACACATTATGTTTTTCCAACACTGCCTCACACAGTCTTTCAAGTTTTTTTTTTAAAGCATCCTAGATGACAAATTTCCCATCAGGCTCTTAGCTTGTGGTCTGCCTACACCTTCACTTCCCAAGACACTTGCATTGGGAAAGAGTGTGGGGTCATCTAAAATCCTGTGAAAGAGAGGGCTTTCACGATTAGTCTATTTATAGACCAGAGCCTTTTTTTCCCGTCTCTACTCCTACAGAGATCTAAGAACAGGTACAGAGAGCCATCTCCAAAGACAGACAGACACTTGGATAGAGAAAGAGGGGGATTCAATCTCCCCTGAGAATCAAAGAGAGATGGTGACAAAGACTGAGCACTGAGCTTAAGTACAGGTAGCGAGGTGGAGAAAAAATGAGACTGAGTCCCAGAGTATTTTTATTTCAAGCCACCACTTGTCCACATCTGCAAAAAGAAGCCTGCTATATGGATAGCAAGGTATTTCTTTCGTAATGGGAGGTAGACATATGTGCAGCAGAGCAAAGAGAGCAGTGCCTGTGGATGTTGTACTATCACAGGTGCTTGGGGCTCCAGCCTGAGGCGGCTGTCATTCTCAAACGGTGATGCTCGTATTTTGAATAAGGGAAAATCCACCCTAAAACGTAATGTTGTAAAATTTGAGATCGTAACGAAGTCTCCATTAAGGCTAGAAACCAATCCAATCTATTAATGGTGCGCTGATCGATCGGCCACCGATTGTTATTGGCCGATAATGGCTTTAACTTAAGTTTAAGACAAATTTTCAACAGCAGCTAAAATGGTTTCACTAGAGTCAGCGATCTGAACAGTTTTCAAAGCTAGCTAGCACCAAAGTCCTTTTCAGACAGGAAGCGACTGATGCGCCCAGTTAATCATTTACAATGAGAGTTAATCAGCAACATTTGGCTTTGTGATTTGGTCTCATCAGTCATGCAAAGCAAAACACATTGCTACTTTTTAGTTTTGGTATATTTTTTAAATATTTTGTACTGGGTAAATAACAATGTGCATGTCGCCGTATTTACTTTGCAAAGACTCCCAGTCTGTTTTCTGCCACCACAGTCTCTTTGTACTCCCGTGTTACTTTCAGTAACAGTTCCACTTCGTTGTCTGTGCATGCAAAATAAATTCCTGTGTCTGTAATACTTTCTCCTTTAGCCATATCTTCTGCAACTGCGGAGTAGACCGTCTGCTTCATGTTAACACCAGCATGCGCAGGCCCAGTGTACGTGAACGGCCACTAGATGTGTGTTTTCAGCCGGTTTAATATGGACAGAGATCAACTCTGGTACGCAGCTAAAACGCTGTGGACGGGGAAGATCACATTCATTATAAAACCATAGTAGTGTGGATGTACCTTAACATTACCCCACTCCTCTCCCTACTCCTCTCATGTCAACCCTCCCATTTCCCCCATAAATCTCCCGTATTTTTAACCTTGACAAAATCAGATGAAAACCTGCTGGCCGTGTTTGCTACTCTCTCCTCTGGTAAAGCTGGTGGCAGTATGTAAAACATTTGCTGGGCGGCACCCGCCAATAAAAGAAGCATCTTTCACTCACATAGGCCTATGCCCTTTTTTTTTTAATAAAGTCTGTGCTAAAATTATATACCTTACGTGCGATTGACGATGTGCCAGTAAAGACTACAGTAGCCTCAAATTGTTTTGCATGAATGGTTATGATTATTGACAAGTTAGTTACCATTAATAAATCAGAGACCAATGTAGACTTTGCTTCTTGCACAAGGATTTAACAAATGAAAACAACCCACTGAATTAATATTAGGCCTACACTAGTGGTAAACTATATGAAATTATAATGACTATAGTAACTATAAGTAATATTAACAATATACTAACAGTACAATATGAAATTAACATTGTAGTTTTATTTATTTAAATCTCAATGACAGTTCTGTCTCCTCTCTGTAGCCCACTCTCCCTCTCTCTACCCCCTAAAGCCCACAGAACCTGCATGAGCTTTCCAGAATAAAAAGCAGCTACTTCAGAGTTCATCATCGACTCATGACATTTTGGCTGCAGCCTTTTTTGTTGCAGCTTTTATAGTTGAAGTAAATTTATAAAGATTCTGTTTGTTCTGTTTTTGTAGTTTATTCCACAGAAAAGCTATATTTATTAAGCTATTAGATGTTCGCTCTGGTTTAAGTCTCTAAGACAGAGGGAGTGGAATTTGTTGCCCATGTTTCCTGGCAGTAAAATAAACAGCTGTCATTTCAATATACTTTATCATCTGTTAATTTAATATTTTTTTAGGACTAATTAAATAAATATACAGTATAATGCTACATGATAAATAGAAGGCTTCAAATAGACCCAGTGATCGGTATCGGCCGATACTGCTTTCAGCAATCCGTAATCAGTGATCGACCCAAAGAATCCTGATCGGAGCACCTCTACAATATATTCTCATAAATCATTGAAGACTGAATGTTGAGAAAGGCTACCTTTTACATAACACCGTAATTGACAAATGTAATTTACGTGATTGACAGTTGGGCAGTCAGCTCACAGCTTATGGACAGTCAAGTTCTCAATGGCTGTGCAAAGGAATCATAGATTGCTGATAATTACTAGTTGTAGAGGGGTTTAGGTTTAGCTTCTTTAATAATGGTTTGACATTTGTAGATTGAAGAGCGTAAAGTCACCTCACATCTGTTATATCATCTGAGCCACATTCTATGAGTACATTAAAGGTCACGCAAGTAGGAGTTACGGACAGAGTATTACCAAGATGATACCAAGAACAATGGCTCATTTTCACAAGGCTGTTTGTACTGAAATCTAACAAATGTCATGTGGTTATGAAAAACCCAAGTATTAAACAAGGGCACCATTTAATGTTCAGTCTGAGACACTTTCATTACAGGATTGTGGACTTTTTGTTGTAATAAATACGCCACTGTTATGTTTGGCTCTGTGTCAGACCCTGGCTTGAATCATTGTGATATAAAACCAAAACACTGCATCAGACTTAATTGAGAAATGTCCTGCTTAGGCTATTTTGTCCAACTTATAGTACGTTGGGGGTGGTGGGGGATCAGCATCGGAAATTGTATATGAAGAGTCAACAGAGAATGGATTGCCACATTGGTGTGTTTAAATGTGATTGGTCAGCTGGTATGATTCAGCTGATAAACTCTTGCCTGGTGACATAATAATTTTCTTGTGATGCTTCACTGTCACCATCTAAGATGCAGATGATAACATGCATGTCTCTTTCTCTCTCTCTCTCTGCCTCGCAGTGGTCAGCAGGCCTTTCTATTGGAGAATGTGCCCTGTAACAACGCCACTTGCCAAAGTGTAGGCAGAATGTTCCGCATCCACTGGGACCAATCAGATTTGGGAGCCATCCAAAATGCCGTCATGGCAACATTCTTTGACATCTATGAGGACGTGAGTAGTTTGTATTGAGTAAATGTTGTTTAGGGCTTGTTTTGGTCACACATGCAACTCACCTCCCATTCCTCCACAGTGACTGATATCAGCTATATGCCTACAGTATTAGTATAAGAACTTGATGCCAAATGGAGAAGAAAAATGAATAAATCTCACAGAGCACACAAGGATATTTGATTTCTCTAATGCAGAAAAGTGGATTATGCGTAAAGCCTCATTCAACACTGACGTCAACAAAATGATTTAAGTTTATGGCTTTCCTTTCCTGCTCAGAAGTAATATTCCAGAATTGGACTGAGGACAGGAAAATGTTGTGTTCACTTTAGTACTTGTTCATAATAAGTATTGTTTAAAGTGCATACAGTAGCTTGTGTGCAAGCCAAAGACAAAGCACTATTATTTATTTTCTTTGCATGCTCTACTGCTGTTGTCTTCTAGTCTTTTCATTTATTTCTACCTGGATTTCTATTCATGGTGACAATGGTGTACACTTTAAAATGATGCACGCTTGAGGTACACACAGAACACACAGAGTCTTACACACTTGTTCTTATATATGGAGTGCATGCTTTTTATAGGCTCTGATCACAGATTCCTACACACACTCCCACTCACACACACTGCACATAGTATAGCAGCTGTATCGCAAAGTACCGTATGTGCTTGTCTTCTCAGAATGTATTATGACTGCTAATGTGGTAAGTCAAATCTCAATTCTCTCTCTCTCTCCCTCCCCATCTCTTGCTCTCTCAGTCACTTGAGAGAGAATTTATAAATGGGAAAGAGACGTCGTTGAGGAGAAGAGAAAGAGGGAAGACTTGAGATGATAAGATAATTGTGGATCAGTCACCCAGTATGTTAAAGGGATAAAAATGTACATCAGAAGACGCACACACCATGCTCCCATTGTCCCTTATCTATGTGCCTGTCTTCATTTGCAGGGTATATTAGACATGCTGGTTCTAAGCCAGGCAGAGGGCAAAAAAGACTTGATCATCCATGCTTTAAAGAACAATTTTGAAGCTGATGCCTACTTCGTTAAAGTGATGGGTAAGTGACTGATTTGCCCAGTATACTTTGTCCCTCTACCCTCTCCTTATGCCTAAACCAGTTTATTGGAGGAGCCACATGAAGTAAGAAAAAGGTACCATCTTTCTGTCTTCCTCTTTTACCCAAGAAATACTCTCCAAATTACATTATGATATCTTCTGATTTCAAGTATTTATGTACTTTTTACAATCAAAGCCCCTCTCAGACCAAGTAGAACCATTGAACATGAACAGCTCTTTTCCCACACCTTGAAACCAGCTGGCCATGGCTGTTAACTGTCATATTATTTTGATGTTTAGCCTTAAGCTGCTCAGTTGATAGTGAAAATGGGATCTTGTCTGATCATTTTGTTTATTTCAAACTAAATTAAGTCCACTGACCCCACAAAACTGCTGTAGTAGATGCACTTTTTCCCAAAAGCTCATTGAAAATACTGTCTCAGTCCTCTTTTTCTGGTTCTCCACTATAAGCTTGTGTGTAGTTCAACAAAAATATACTGTAAATATGCACACTGCTCCCAGCCTAGTTAGCACCATTGATAATGCCCTGCTCATGACACAAGAGTGGAAGCAGAATAATGGGCTACAACTCGAAAGTGATCGTGTTTTATATGTTGGAAAGGACAAAGTAAAAGTCCCACATATTGTACTAGAAGTTTCCATTAAGAGGCAAATACTATTTAATACTATATACTATATAAGTTTTTTTCTGTACTCAATACGTCTGATTTATGACTAGATTGTTTTTATGAACTATGTGTGGTTCCTGGTGTTCCTCGTTATTATTGTAAAGTTATAAAATCATTCAAAACCAACCTCAGGCTGAATATGTGGGACTTAGGGTGTAGGTAACTCAGTTTGTAGAGTGCGCACCCCATGTACAAGTCCTTACGGCAGCAGCCCGGGTTCAAATCTAGCCTGTGGCCCTGTGCTGCGTCTCGCCCCCTATCTCTCTCTCTCTTTCTGCTCTGTCCACTGTCCTATCTAATAAGGGCAAAAACAGAAAAGAGAAGAAAATGTGTGACTTGCATTGTGAGCTAGTTCTGATTTCACACCAGATTTGCTCAGTACAGAAATGGCACACACAGTTTGTGCAATATGCTGTATTTCAGTCACACTTTAAACCTGGTATTCACAAAAGATGCCTGACTGGAAGCAAATGTAGCTTCAATATCTGCATGCAATGCTCAGAAATAGTTTTTATATTTTTGGCTCTGCTTTTTTCTCTCAGTTAATAGATTATTATTTCTTTTATTTTCATTTTAACACGTTCTTGTGAAGTCAAAATGTTGGTACAGCGTTAGTACCTACTGGCATTTGAAGAAAGCAAAAATAGTCCCACTCTAGGCTGGCCCTTTGCACAGTCTAATCTGTCACTCTGCTCTGCTCTGCTCATTAGTAGGAAAAAGAGCGTTCATCCCTTTCTGTTCCAGCACAGTTGGTGAACAGTTGTTGTTTTGTCTTATTTGGAAGGGAGGGGCTACAACTGCTCTTCTGCTTTCAGAATCTCACACACACACACAAGAAACACACACATAAATCATCACCATGCCCTTGTAAACACTTAGTATGTATCACAATCAATATTCTTTCTACTGTACATGTACTGTATACACGAATTTGACCTGTCAGCAGACTAAGAATAAAGACATTCCAAGCCTACACTCAAACAAATCGTTTATAGCAGTAGCAAATACTCACAATACCTCCGGGTCACAATAATGAGACTCACAACAAAACAAAATGACAAGAATCTGAAAGTATAGTGAAGAAACAAGCAGTTTGTCATTATTACTAAAGTGATATTTTTCATCTGCTGTCAGAACAAGATAGTTTTGTAATGATGCTCAGTAGAATTTGTCTTGTTCGATGCTATGGAGACCATAAATACAAGAGTTTAAAGGCCCTGCACACCATCACAGGTGGTCTTAGTTAGGGGCTGATTAGACCTTTCCTCAGGTTGAAGATGGGCACAGCTATGCTGGGATGTACATGAGCCCATAATGACAATTTAGATCGCAGTATTGATCAGAACCATCACAATTAGATATTTTCCTCATATCCTTTATCCCTACACCACATGATCCGTATTCCAAATACTGCCCATATTGTAAAGTGTTTGTATGTGGACACTTGTGGACACTAATACACGGGTTGCAGCTGAATTCGATTGAATATCAGAGCAGGCTCATTGTAGTCTAGATTCTGTCCAGGCAAAGTGTCAATAGATAAATATTCTACATTATTTTATATGTCAATAAGCTAAATTATTGTAAAAGAAAGAAGCATGCGCATTAGTAAGCCTGACAGCCTCTGTACATACAGTATGTTTGTGTGACCTTGATTCGTCCCCCTTCCTCCTGCTGTAACATGTTTGTGCCGCCTCTGTAAATACTGCTGTTCTTTTCGTTATCCATGTCTTGTCTCATTGCGGAACATCAAACAAAACGAACACAGATACACCCGAAACCAAAATGCCTGGTTTCCCTGTGTCGTTACAAACACTTTCAGCTCCCCCTCTTCTCCTCTTTATTTGACTTCAGTTGTTATATTTTGGTTGTTAATATTTCATACATGATCAGTGTTTTCTACATCTAGCTGACTACAGTAAGCAAGCAACCAAAATAAAAATGTATCTGTCAAGTGTCACACCCTGTCGACATTTCAATCCTCTCCCCTGTGAATGTGAGCTCAAATGCAGCTTAATAGCCTCGCACCTCGAGTTAAACCCCCCTGAGGCTAAATTGTTTATTTAACGTTCTGTTCAGTCGTCTCTGATAGCATAGCTGATAGCATTACACTGTAATAAGTGAGACTGAGAGTGTGAACTTCCTATTCAAACTTGACACGTTGTCAGCCAGTGATGTGTTTTTGCAGACAGCCTGATCCAGTCCTCCGCTCCGTAAGATGGAATCCTATTTTCTCAAGATGACATCCCTCAACCCTCCCCTGAGCATTATTGAACAACACGCGCTGAAGGATTGACTTTGTGTCGGCCTTGATGTGTGTGTGTGTATGTGTGCGCATTTATGTGCATGTGAGTAAGATCCCATGATGCACATGGACTTTCCAGGCTAAATCCATCACAGGTTGGCTTCAGACAGCAACCTTGCCTCTGTGCCTGCTAGAGGCCTGGACTCTTGCTGGGCTTTTCACACCGAGATGGCCTGAACCTGTACTGGTCTGACATCTTATCCTCCCATGCGCCCAAAATGCAATAGTTCACTCACCAGCGCATTCCATCAAGACCCTTACCTCTGTATGCCATAGCATATATTATTTAGGAGCAGGCTAGAGGTTTTCTGAATGCAGCTGAAGACCAGGGGAAGACTTGGCAGCTGCCATTCTGTAAAAAAAAAATATATATATATCCTTGAAAGCTGAGGGCAAAAAAGCATATCAGGCCTGTATGTAATTTTGTTTTGACACTCCTTCAAGGAAGGTTCTACTGAAAGTTGTTGTTTGAATGTTATTCAGTGTGTTTGTTGCAGTTCAGTTTCAGCCCCTGTGGGTGTTTTCTTGGCAGATACTCGTGCAGTTGCAAAGTTTTCATGGACATTAATGGACATTCACTTAATGTTACTAACTTAATGTTGCAGATTAGATTGTATTTAGACAATGGAGCAACACTGACATGTAGCCTTTTTTATTTAACTTGTTTAAATAAACTTTTTACTTTTTATTTAACTTGTATTTTTAGCCTGGCTAGTTGTATGGCTCTAGGGATGGCACTGGACCTTTGGTCCAGACTGAAATATCTCAACACTGATGTGATGGATTGCCCTGACATTTTATTCAGACATTCATGGTCCCCAGAGGATGAATCCTACTGATGTTGGTAATCCACTGATTTTACATGACCGCAGTTATGTTGAACACAAACGACGTGCAAAGAAAAAAGAGTTCTATTAAGCAGTATTCACAGGTCTACTCAATTTGTCACAGCGCAGCACAGGCAGAAATGATTTATCACAGCTATGGGAATTAATTAATAATAAGCCTCACAACAATTCGAGCTGCTCACACCGCGACAAATACTGAATGCCATCGGTTGTCCGCCCCAAAGAAAGGATGCCAGCCTTAAATGAACACCAGTGAGTTTGATTTATCTTGTGCATTGTCCTTTGAGCTGGGCGGTGAGAGTAGCGCCTGTTGCGTCGCCAACCGTACGACCGCTCTGAATTAGTTTTTGTTCATTTCAGGTAATTAAACCAAAATACTTAAAAGTTGATGGTTATTGTTCATCTCACCGTCCTGTATTCTTTACTCTCTCTCCTTTCATTTGTGTTTACCTTCCTCCTCTTCAGTGTCTGTCTTTGGGCTCATATTAGATTAGACAAACCTTCTTGACATTCGGCAACCTATCAGTAGAAGAATAACGACCATGTGATCTTGGCAATAGTAAAGAAGACCTGTCCAATGACACTGAGCCAGGCCAAGTACAAATTATAAAAATTCTTATCGGATTGCGTCCTCTTGTATTGCGGAGGTCGTGTCTGTAAAAATTTCTAATACTCAAGTGCGTCATAATCATCAGGGTTGCTCATTAATTGATCATTAATCATCCCGCCAGTGTTGGTGTTCACTCTCCATTAGAGTTTGTTCGGTTGACCACATTTTGAGTCCTGTCTAAATATCCTCAGGTCTCTTTAGGATCAGGTGTAAATTGGAATTGATTCCTTGAATAACTTCTTGCACAACAGATTTGGGTAATTTTTTCGAGGGACATGGTGATCACATGCATGCGTGTGAAGTCTTACGCAAAGCAAAGTGGTTCCACTTTAAGCTATAAGAGACAGCTCACAAAGCAGTTGCAGGGTGGACAGATGGACGGGTGATTACTGCTGAGGAGGGAGGAGATGGGAGAAATTGTAAACTCCGAAATTAGAAAGAGGAGAGAGGGAGGGAGTATCTCTGCATGAGCATTTTGAAGTGTGTGTGTGCACGCGCGCGTTCCTGTCTGCGTGCGTGTGTGTCCATAACGTAAATTACATTTTAGTG